ACAAAAGATAAATGACAGTTTTGTCCATCAAATACAATAAAGGTTATTCCTTTTATTTTCGATAGCATCCTTTTATTTCCATCAATAACACATGAAGGAACACCAAACTCTTCTTTTTGGCTGTTCATTGTGTTGAGATATCTTTGATACCCATGTTTTATGGGATGTGCATATGGGGTTGCTTCTTGAAGGGGTACTAGGTTTGATATTTAGATCTAAACCCTAGGGCTTTTGGTCATATGAGAAATACAATTGGCATGTTAATTTCATGGATTCCCGATGTGCTAGTACAAGAAACTCCTAAGTTCTTAAGTTTAGACTTAGAGAAAGAACTGTATCTAACCTAAGGGGCACAACCCTCTCTACATTATTTCTCTTACATAATTTTGATCAAGACCATGGGCACTTAAATCTTTAATGATTAACTTCAAGGGAAAAGGATGCTCACCCCCCTTTAGTAGACTTTCGTCCTACATACACCCTCAGGTCTATGGAAAACCCATGGACCCCTCCAAACTTTTAATAATAGGACACCAAACTCCTCCCTCACATTTTCACTATCCAAATTACTGTTTTAACCGAATTCTTTATTTTATTTTCATCTTTAATACATAAAACCCCTCTCTCTTAACCCCTTCCCCCCCTCTCGATCTCTACCCACCCAACCAATCGCCTCTCTCTCTCATCTCAAACCTCCCATGACATCCCCTCTCTCTTTCCCATCATTTGCACATGCTTTCTCTACCTCTTACTCATTCTCTCTCTACCCCATTCTTCAAGCTCTCTCTCTCCTTCTTGAATCAATAGAGAGAGAGGGGTGATTGGTTTGGTAGATAGAGATGGAGAGAGGGGGAAGGGTTAGAGAGAGAGGGGTTCAACAGGTTATGGGTTTGTGGAGTTTTTCGAGATATGGGTTAAAGGTGGGAATAAAACAAAGAATATGGTTAAAACAATAATGTGGATAGTGAAAACATGAAGGAGGGGGTTTAATGTCCTATTGTTAAAACTTCTAGGGTAACTATGGGTTTTCCACAAACCCAAGGGTCTATGCGGGATGAAAGTCCACTAAAAGGGGGTGAGCATCGTTTTCTTTAATTTCAATTTGATCAAAATTTGGTTGGATTTAATTTCACTTGGTGGAAAATTTTGATTTTGAAAGTTGGAGGGAAATCTAGATTTCAATCAGCCAGGGGATAATGGTATTAATTCCCAACCCTTGTTTGTGATAGATAACTAGGGATTGAATGGCTAGGATCATAGTTACAAGAATCTCTCCACCGACTTCGCGTTCCGGTTCCGAAACCCGATTTCTCGTTTCCATTAAGGAATCTCCACGAAAACCATTTTTCGGAACCAAGGAAACTCGATTCCGTAATTTTGGAATCCCGATTCAATACATCTTTAGAAACCATTTTTCGGCACCAAAGAAACTCGATTCCTTAATTTCGGAATATCGATTCAACACATCTTTAGAAACCATTTATCATAAACAATGAAACTTGATTCTTTAATTTCGGAATCTCGATCCAACACATCTTTAATAACTTGAACCCATTAATTTTGGGTAGACGCTCCCAAATACATCGAATCTGGAATCCAACGAGGATTAAATCTTGATTCCACATCAATTCGAGTAGAAATCTTCCTTCGAATGCTTCTAGTGGTAGCAGGTTTTCATTATTTTATTTGTGCCACCCTGGACAGCCTCTATTTTAAATTTAAAATATAACTGGTAAATACAACACATACAATTAAAAGTAAAACTATGGCGTAGACAATCCTATTTTGTGAAGTCAAAATCGCAATTTAGAAATACTTCTCTTTTGTATATAATGACCATAAGTTCAATACTCAACACCAGTCACTTTAAAATTTGGAAAACCTTCTAATAAGAGACATCCAATATAGGTTCTAAAGTTGATAAGGCTCAAGATGTCTTGTGACTTCCTTCTCCATAAAAAATGAAATCTCGATTCCTGGTAGGGGTCTTCAAACGCATTCCATAATCCACATTATTGTAAATCTCGATCTCAAACTAGCATGGATCTCTGGTCCATATACTTCAGAAACTTGATTGCAAATAAGTTAGAATAACAATTCAAAACAGCAACATATCTTTGTTCCACATATGCCAGAAACTCAATTTCATAGATGTCGGAAACTCGATTTCACATATTAATGAATCTTGACTCCTGGAGTGTCGATTCAAGGGGATGGGAATCTCGACTTCAAGGAGGACGGAATCTCGATTCCATATGTAGATGAAACTTGGATCTATTTCGGTCAAAACACGATTATCAAAAACTAGGAATCTCGTTCCTAGCGATTCCTATTGTATGGACAACGATTCCTATGGCAGCAATCTTCCTGCCAACTGCGATTCCGTGATTCCGGTTCCTAAATTGATTCGGGTTCCCAGGCGTTTCCAACAACTATGGCTAGGATCAAGCCGCTCTAACCGCATATAATTCCTAGATCGATGGCTCTAAATGATCCCCCCAAATGAAGCTTCTAGATCATCTAGTCAAAGCCTTTAAATAGGAGCCACCCCCTCTCATTTCTACACCTCAATTGAAGAAGTGAGAGGATGTCAATTTAGAGAAAGAGTGGCAGGCCCCACGCTACAGTGAGAAAGAGAGAGTGTCATGTTTTAAGATAGAGTTAGAAAAAGAAGGGGTGGCACACCATGGTCCCTTGGCCTAAAGAGAGCCGAGTGTGGAGGCACACCTAGAGAGAGAGTAAAGGCAAAATCCCTCATTAACACCTAGAGCTTCAAACCCCCTTGGTTTCCTTGCTTCACCAGCCTCCATGACCTTCTGCTTAAAGCTTCAACACTTCATTTGAGCTCTTATATGCTGCTGTAAAAGTGCATTTACAACAAGGTATACTCTCTCTTTTGGTGAATTTTTATTTCATCTTTTCAAGCCATCGGTATGCCCTCATAATCCCCTTCCGTGCTCCATTTTTTATCAGCCAAATTGCCTTAATTTTGGCACTACACACCCAGCCTTTTCTTCGACATTCACTGCTGCAAATCAGTCCCATATGTGATGTTATTTGATGCATTTGGAGATTTTTTTATTTTTCCCATTACTATGAGGTGATAGAGCCTAGATCATAGTGTACTATCGGTTTGGTATTCTGGTGTGGGGTGTAATAAGTCCCGGAAGGTAATTCTAGGCAAATTGCATGATATTTTGGATTCCCGTGGTTTTTGTCGCCTAAGCACACATTTGTTAAAGTGTATGTAAAATGAGATTGCATTTTTTATTTGCAAAAGTTCATGTGTTTGAGGTAATTCTATGAGAAGTGTTGTATTGCCAAGTCTACATGCAATCTCATGGTGTCAAAATGAATGGAAATGATTATGTCTAAAGAGGTGCTTATGACCCTCTAATCTTGCTGTATTTTTGTTGAAAAGGGAGTTGAAAGAGTGAGAGCTGAATGTATTTTAACGAAAAAGTGTATGGAATTAAGATGTATACTTGTCCTTTATAAAAAATTTGAAGTGTTGTACCTAAGGGACCGTATCTACACCTATCACAACTTACATACAACTCACGGAATTATGTCAGGAAGTGTTGAATGGATACATTTCATGAGCCACTAGGCCCGGTTGTAGGGAATTCTTTGAATGTAATTCGATGGGCCCGTAATGAAGGCTCACAACAATGAAGGTTGGCTGAACAAACAGAGAGAATTCATGATCTATGTCAAGGGAGGAATGTGACTTTTGAGCACACTTAGATAGACAAATGAGAACACCAATGACTAGTTTGGGTTAGTAATGGGAGGGAATCCCTGTATGTGGGGTCGTACCTCCCTCCCCTTTGGTATTTGCCTACCGTTTCGCACTCCTCTCTCCTTCTCACTTTCTCTTTTATCTCTCGTAGAGGCTGTCAATGTTTTGTCTGCTCCTCTGAGCAGCTGGATGCAATAGGTTTCTCCTTAAATATTAAAAAAAATTGTAGGTCTGAGATTCATTAAGGCATGGAAGTGAGATGCATGTCAGATTCTAAGGTTCACTAGAATAAATATTCATTTATGGAACATATAACATAACTTCCATGGAAGAAACTTCTTCCAGTGAATCAGTGATAAATGATCAGTACATGCAATGGCATATATTGGGTAAAAAGACACAAACATGAATAAGTACTTTACTTATTTTGGTCTTCTACTCTTCTAAAAGAGTTATCCATCCCAAGGCATGAATTAGGTAAAAAAGACACAAACACGAATAAGTTTTTGGTCTTCTACTCTTCTAAGACAGTTATCCATCTCATGGCACGAATTAGATTTCACCATTGCTGAACTGAAGCATCGAATCAAGAAGTTACCAAGAAATCCCATTCGATCAGATGCTTACAAATCTTGGAGTCCTCAGTAAATTAATGCACAGTTTATTTTGTGAATAAATGTGTACAATAAAATTTTAAGAAATTAAAATGAACTGTGAAAAATGCAAGTTGGGTCCAAAGAAGGGTATCAAAATATACAGTACTGAGTTTCCAGAGTAGCTAAGGCCACAAATAAGTGACCCTCATGGACATCTTGAAGCTCAAACCTAAAAAAAGGTTACAATAAATCTCAAATATATTGTTGTTTTCACTTCCTCTGATTCCCATGCTTGAGTAGTTAAAGGAAATGAAAATTCAAGTATTGGTAAGATTCAGTTGAGAACCAGATGTCTATTTTAAATCTTCACACTCCAGTAGCATGAATGAGAACAATTATGGGTCTAGAGTTTTACTTGACATCATGGTTAGGAAACATATGTAGATCCAGCTTCAACTACCAAATGCTTCCTCTATTTGTTCTAGAAACTATTGAAAAAAAATCTAAGTCATACAGGGCTCCCAAACAAGCCCGCAAAGAATTAACAATTGAGAATCAATCAACCGTATTATCTCTAAGCCCTAGAAATTTCTCAGATAAAGGCTTCCAATTTTGAAAAAAAATGAACAGAAAAATCTTATCTCAAAATGTTTAAGAGAGACCTTGTGAAGGAGAAGGAGGAAAGGAAGAGACTGGAATGCTTTCGAAGCAGGAGTTGAGCTTCTCAGAGGGGGAGAGTTGAGGCTCTTGAATGTCCCAGAGGTCCTCAACTTTGTGCCCTAGGACTGCTCCTGGGCTCGATCTATTGCTTCCAGGGCTATCCATCGCTTCCGCCATTGATGCAACTCTATGCTATGCAACAGCTACTTTAAGAGAAGCAATGAGAGAGAAAGATACACGACAGAGGAGTGATGATTTAGAGTTTAACTGAAGAAAGAGAGAGAGAACGAGAAAGGGCACGAGGTGGCAGAAGACAATAAGAGAGAGAGAGAGAGTATGGCTTCCAGGTGACTGAAGCAGGAGTAAGAGAGAGAAATAGAGAAAGATGATGATGCGAAAACTCTGGAGAAAGAGAGAGAAATAGAGCAAGATGATGATGCGAAACAGGATCACATGCCACTGCAACTACGACCTAGAGAGAGAGAGAGTGCATATTTCGTGGGATACGGCTGACTGGGTTAAAGCTAACTCAAGAGAGAGAGAGGACACGAGGTGGCTGAAGAAATGGAGAGAGAGAGAGAGAAAATGGCTCCCAGGTGACCGAAGAAAGAGAGGAAATGATTTTTAAACCGCAGAAATAGAGAGAGAAATTCGAGGATAAGAAAGAGGATCACATGCCACTGCAACTACTAGTTTTAGAGAGAGATGAATCCATAATACGTGGGACACGGTTGACCGAGTGAAACTGGGGTTTAGAGGTGTAAATTTTTTTTAAGATTATATGAAAATTTATTTTTATATCTAGTTATAAAATTTTAAAGTTTTAAAAATCAAATAAATTTATAAATATATATAAATTAAAAAAACGATGGTTTAAATAATGTGTTGCAAGATGCAATTTGTTAAGATTCAACTTTTTTTTTTTATATATTCACACCCTTAAATGTTGAGATGATCAGTTTTTTTTTTTTAATATTAAAATAATATTTTATATAAATTTTTGAGGTGCATATATATATATGTAAAATTTTTCCTAACTTGTTGGTTTCACAAAGTCGGTTAAGTGTCGGAACACAAGTTAAACAGTGGAAGAGATAGGAACCAAGAGACGATGACGGCTTTATCTCCTGTCACACAGATATGTGTAAAGACAAATAAATGATTGTTCCATACCCGATCGATAGATTAGATGCTGTCACACCTTTAGGGCCCGTTTGATTGGTACGAAACTAAAGAACCGTGTTGACCTGGCTCAGGTCCCGCCTATATAGGAAGGGATGGATCGGATGCAGTTTTAATTTTTGGCTTTTTATGCACAAAATGTCGCTATTAGGGTTTCGAAAGTGCCCTTTTGTGCTGATTATTCGAGTTTTTTATCGTCACATCCCTTTTGGTTCGTATAAAATTATTTTAGTGAAAAAGTTTGTATGTGATCTCATGTAATTAAGTATAGAAGTTTTTTTTATTTTTTGTTATGTGAAAATATTTTCACATGAAAGAATTCTCACGATATGGAATCGAAGTTGTTTGTAAAATATTTTCACATGAAAGAATTCTCGTGGTAGGGAAGTTTTTATGCATCAACTGTTTATTACATAAAGGGTGTGGTTTGTATAGAGCCGAGGCTCTAAACAATCAAAGTAAACCGCACCTTCAAATCATGTCGAGAAATGTGGTTTCAATACTGAGAATCTTTGTGATAGCTTTAAAATATATTTTTATCTTTAATTATAAAATTTAAAGCTTTAAAATTAGCGTAGATCGAGCAGATCTATGAAAATCTTGAAAATTGATTGCCTGAAAATACGTTACAAGATGTGTGTGGGTGAGAAATATACATGCAAATATTAAAGCACATTAGTAGGTAGGCTTTCTGAATTAAGAAAATTGGAGTTTGTTTTTTTGGTTTGCTTTTACAACTACAGGGGTTCTTTCTTGTTGACGGTGAAAAGTTCTGGATATTGAGAGCCAGCAAATGCAATATATAAAAAATTCGCTGATTTCAATAAATCAGTGAGCCCAAATTTAACTTTGTCAGAACTTGTCGAAATTTTGCTGATTTTATTTGATCATAATAATCATTTTTTTCAAAAACAAGTTTTTACAATACTTGGTAGTGCCTTACATATGTACGAAGTACAAACCACCAAAATATATTGGATTGGGGATTTCTTGTTTACAGCTCTATTTTCTTTAGGTGTGTACATTGCTTGTGCATAATGGGAGCATATACTTATTTGTTATTCACATGAACCTACATTCCTTTGAGTAGAGAAAATACACACCTAAGCCATCCGTAGTTTTTTTTTTTGGGATATTCAATGGGGAAGACAGACTCCTATCGGCTTTTTCAATAAATTAAGGAGTTACATTTTGAAAATGTTAATTGAGGTATCAGCGGTAGGAATGGATTCCACGATGTGGTAATTGGTACGAGGATACTACTACCCATTAGCCATCTGTAATTGGCATTGGAAAGTCCTATGCTTTACATATTAGTGCATAAACTAGTTGGACATGATTAGTCCGAAGGCAACTGGTTGCTGCATTTGTTGTATACAATTACCATTTGATAGTCGTCTACTCGAAACATTGGATTAGGGTTTGTGACGTTTGTTTCATTTGATTGGATTTTGGAACATGCTAAAACTCGCACGTTCGGAGCAGGGATAGATACGACTTCTGCTACACTAAAATGGGGAGGTTAGAGTGGAGCTAATGAGGAACCCAACAATGCTATGAAAACTCCAAGATGAAAGTAAGAGATCCTCATAAGTAGCGTGAAAAGAGATTATGAGGTTACACCCTCGTGCTCCATTGTTGATTCCTAGTGAAACAAAGGTAGTAGTTATAGTGTTTGCTCCATTGTTGATTCCTAGTGAAACAAAGGTAGTAGTTATAGTGTTTCAAAAAGTGCTAGGCGATATCTAGACGGTCAGGGTTTAGGCCGTCTAGAACCTCGTCAGCCCAGGAGAATTTTTTTTTTTTTTTTTTTGATATTTTTTCTCTTTAAAATAGGTCATAATGGGTTTTAAGTTTCAAAATGAATCTGAAATCCACAATTTTGCACCTTTAGTATTAAAAAAATGAACATAAATATCTTGCGATTTCCACCCCCGAATGGGGGCGCAGGCCCTACGCGGGCTGCCTACTACTAGGCGAACAACCAGGCATATGCTTTTTTTTGGCCCCCTAGGCCTAAAACTGCCTAACCAGCTTCCCAATCACTGGACGGTCCACTTTTTGAAACACTGAGTAGTTATCTAGCATCTAAGGCTTGCCGAGTATGTGTGCTTTAGATAAGGTTTAGTTATCTAGCATTTGAGGTTTGCCGAGTATTTGTGTTTTAGATAAGGTTTCTTGCACATGGATGATTAACAATATGTACTCCGAAGTTACCTCTTTTCTTGTCTTCATTTTCTTCATCTATTTTGAAGAGATTAAAAATTCCTATTGCAATATGTAGATGGCAGCTGAGTGGTCTTAACGATGAAAATATTTGGGATACGGTCCTGGTCTAAATAATATACAAGCTATATGTCTTGTGCGGCGATTGATAAGGCTGAATTCTTTATGAGCAGTTGAGCATTATGTGTATAAGCACATTTTATGCAAGTTTGCTCAACTTTGTTAGGATTGCTTATGCGCTCATGATCTACTGCAAAATTTGTCAAATATAAGTAAAGAATTCAAACAACTGAGGAATTCTTTAACTTACCCAAAAAAAGAATTCAGATAACTGAGGCTCATTGCTGTTATTTAATAAAGAAATTATCATAAATATACTTTTATTTTTCCCTAATTGAAAAAAAAAAAAACCCAACTTTCATAAATCTCATCCACACCTTTTTTTAGCATTTTATTTACCAAAATAGTCTTCAGAGTAGTTGTATTATTGTGAAGCCCTAGCATTACGGTACTTTAAGTACCGTAATTACGGTACTTTAAGTTCCAAGATGCAACGTAGAAAATATTTGCTCGGTCACTCTCTTTATTTATTGATTACCAATCAATGCTCGGTCATTCTATTATGAACCCAAAAAAAGCATCATAAAAACTTTGAAAACAACAAGCAAGTCAGACAATATCGGAATAGAAGTAGCAAAAATTCTTTGAAATTCCAAAAATTATTGCCACAAAGATGCTAGATATGTTTTTACACAAACTAATTGCTGAAACTTTGCAACAAAAATTTCAAACTGATTTTCAAACAAATGCGCAAACTTTTAGCAAAAACCGTTTTGGGTTGGGCTTGGCAAGCAAAGAACATAAAATTCTAAAGGTGCTCGTACGATAATTGAGGCAATTACTCCATAGAAAATTAATCCATCATGCCAAGATTTAATAAAATTCCAAAGGCGACATTTTTTTTTCTTATGTCACTGATCATTAGGGTAATTATGTTCACAAAATTTTCATCAAAAGACATTTCACTTTAGTGAAGCACATTTTAATGTTTTTTTATAAGAAAAAATAAATTTACAATGTGAAACAATAAACTCAGAGCAAATAGGTTTATGATTGAGTGCTGGTTGTCAGAGTTCAATTTTTGTCGATCGTCTATTTTCTTGATCAATGATTCGATGTTTGATGGTGTTGACTCCATCTGTTGTAGTCTTGAAAGCACCACAGATACTCGGCAGAAAACCCATTCCATCCACCATATTTTTCACATTGGTGATTATTTGGACCACACATGCTCCATGCTCAACTGCAATTTTCAAACGTCTTTTTTACTGGATATGAAATGATGCTGCATGCCGATGAACTTGTCATCTTTCCAGTATATAGGAAATTCAAAACTAGAAAAGTGAATGAATTGTGAACAAAAAGATAAAGTATACAACATTTTTTAGAAAAATAAGTTTTGCTCAAAAACCCATTGTTCGTGAATCAATTAAACTCTAATCAACGAGTTCGCATCCATTGAATCTAGGGCCAAATTAAGCATCGCCCCATTAAAACAAACGCACAGAACTAACTCATTGAAGCATAGAAATAATAAAACGAAACCGAAACCAAATAAAAAGGAACATTTTTCATGGGTCCTAATCTTGAAGTTAATTGTGGGCAAAATTTACCAACCAAGAAATAAACAAAGAGAAGTTCATAAAGATATTTTATTATAAAGTTTAACTAGAACATTTATTCAATCACAGGGAATGCTGATTGAACTTATTCCACAAAATACTTCAAAAAAACTGGAGATCAACCTAATGTAATTGTCCACAAGATATCATAACTTACACGGAAGGAAGTAGTGAGGGATTGAGGAGAGAGATCTGATCCCAATCGGCAATACTCGGCCTTTGCTAGAGAGAGACGGAAATGACACTGGGATTGAAGGCACCTTGGTTGTTGCTGAGGTAATGGCGACAGAGAGAGAGAGAGAGGGAGGTGGTATTGTGAAAAGAGAGAAAGAGGGAGGTTCACAGTTTTAGAGTCGATGGCTGCTCTTCTGATAATGGCGAGAGAGAAAGCGGGGCTGGAGACGCAAATGGCAGAGGGTGAGAGAGAGGTGGTATTGGAGAGAGAGAAGGGAGAGAAAGAGGTTGAAACTGTCAAAGGCTCTGGATTTTTAAAGAGAGAGAATACGACCACATGGTTTTGAAAATCATTTCGAATGTTTTAGAGTGAGAAATGAGGCAATCAATAGGATTGTCCGC